ACACACACACACACACACACACACACACACACACACACACATGCGTTTTTGCATTTGCATAAGATGCAGAAGCCAAAAAACAAATAAGTTTTTATCAGGTTGTTCACTTAGTAAAAAAATAAACAGGAGCAAGTTAATTTGAGCTTTGGCTTGAACTTTTGACATAAGATTATCAAATTCTGGATTTATATCACTGACACAGAGTCTGAAAGTATTTTTTAGATAGTCATTTGTTACTCTCGTGTGTGTTTTAGTTTTATTTTCATGAGAGTGCAGAGGCATGACAGAGTACAAGCCCCCTTCCCCATTCGTTCAGTGGTGCCTAATCACATTCCGACTTCCGGATCCGGCCCGAAGGTCGCCGGTTGCCCACGTGTGCTTTAAAAAATTGTGCAGAGGATTTCTACATCATAAAATTTTAGCAACGATTGCCGATTTTTTTCAAAGGAACAAAGAGGTATCGTTAACTAGATCAACAGGATGATCACATAAATGAAGAAAAAACTATAATAAACCACATCTTTCTTCGAAAAAACAAGGGTAGGTTAACGCTACGGGAGGTTCCCCGCCTGGTTTAAAAATAACAGCATAAAGTTTGTACGAACGCCAATCAATCTATACCAGGAGTCGTTCGAGTTCAGTTGTTTGAGCCACTTCTTGGCGTGCACATTCAAAGTCGCTGATAAGTTTCCGCCGTGATAACAAAATTTTGCCGACCAACTCGAACTGCTCGATACCCAACAGATCAATCAACTGAAACAATAACGAAACGAAAATAACATGTCAAAATCAATGAGATGGAACACTGTGTTAGGAGGGAAACAGTATAAACTAAGGTCTCCACAAGTGGCAGGGTAAACGGTAAAAATATCCTCGATTTCATCCACTCAAAATCCTTTGGATTCCGCCCACTTCCCGTTCCTGGCTACTCTCAACTTCCGTGTTTTCATATGATTTTCACAAGTTTGCTCGCGTTTACGAAGGATGACGAAAAGATTCACCTCACTCTGAAGGTCATTGTCATCACGTGCTGAACGTAATAAATCAAAGAGATGCTGAATGAGCGTTTCGGCATCATCGTAGATGCTTGTGATAGCGAATACAATGTCGGCCGTTGTAATCGGTGCACCATCGTCACCCTGAAACATCTCTACAATAGAATATGCAAAGGGCCCGGCTTAACGAGCGTAATTTCAAAATACATTAATTCGAGTGTTGCTTACGAGCAAGATGACAGCGAGGGTAGCAAAGCTCAGAAAATGCAGGTCTGTGCTACGGAAAATTAACCTAAATCTTTAGTTTTCTTTTCAAAAAGTGAAAGAAAAATTGGAATTTTTTGCGCTGTAGCGATTTTATTTGCTGCGAATACGCCATTTTCATTACTTAATTCAAACTTTCTAGATGAATTTTTGAAATTAAACACCTTTGAAGATGATGGCACGGCACCGCTCGTAGTCTGAGGTGCTAACGGCGGCAGATCTTGTGTACTTTGCTGGTGTTGCTGCTGGCGTTCATGATGTCCAGGAAGTTCCTCAGAACGATTCGTCCAGTAAATGTTCCTTGTAATTCTGAAATGATTTCTTTTTTCTCTTATAAAGGCAGCTTTTCGGCAACAATATTCGGGATCGATCGGATTCTTAGGCAATCGAGATCTCATGCTACCGCGATAGCTAATGATTTGGTTCTTCATTTATGAAACTGGCAGTTTTTGCAAAGGTTTTGCCCACTGCTGCAACAGCTGGTGAGTAGACTATTGGCTAATCCAAGATCTTGAGGTTTATTTCGTTGCTGACAATTAAAATTGCAAGTAGCTTTTTCAGCGTGATTCTCCGATGCTTCCTCCCAGCTTGATTTACCAGTCATTTTAGTTCGAACAAGGAAAAAGTAAAAAAAAAAAAGGTTTTAAGAAAGACTTAAGAAATGTGGAGCTGCCAAAAAGGCAATTTATAACAATTATCAACCACGTGTTTCTTTTGCTAGCACACACGGGGCAATAGCAAGTTGAGCTGCTCTCGTGCTGGGGGTCGAGAATTCCTCTCCGCCAGTGAAACAAACAACTTTCTGCCTTTCACTTACTTAATTCATCGCTTCAGAAAGTAAAACCATATGCAGAGAGTAAAGCCTCTGCTAGACTGCTCATGGCAGTGGCAGGCAGAGCCATCAACAGCCATGTTAACACGCTTTTGTTGTTGGTAAGCGTTATTACACAGGCTGATTGCGAATGGATGAGCCCCTCAGAGAGAATAAATATAACGGGGAATTTTGCTTTCTACAAACCTGTCAAGCACGGGTTGTTCGATAAGCCACAAAATCCGTTTCTTCTTTTTTTTTACAAGAATTAAGCCACCATTTTACAATAATATTCATTTTCATTTTACAATAATATTTATTTTTTCTATATTTTGTCTTTTCGCTTCTTTTCTTCCATAACTATTCACATTCATCGGCTTATTTCGCTTTCTTTTCTGACAGTTTGTGAATGAAGCTTCAAGGAAAGAGGGATGGGAGAGGAGTGGAGAGCATCACGTGCAGTGACAGCAACGAACAGCTAACCTCGGAATGCGTTTCGGAACAACTGCTGGTGGATTTATTTGAATATTTCCATACCGTGCCATCAATTCCTTCAAATTACGCTCCAACGCAAGCCGCTTCTGAAACGAGCTCAATGATGGAAGGTAAATAAGGCAAGAGATTATGGGAATTTCAATGTAAGGGAACATGGAGAGCCAGGCACTGCGAGGAAAAATACGCAAACAGTATTTCTCCTAATCTAAAAAGAAAACTCACAGAGCTACCCATAAGAATTAGAGGGTTAAACTTAAGATGATCCATAAAGTACTGGAAAGTGTAGCATTGCTGTTGGCATGGTGCAGCGACAAGAGGAAAAGAGGAATGGAACAGTCAACTATGTTTACTAAAAAACTTCTGTTCATATTCTTGCTGCTGGAGCTTACCTTGTTCATTGTTGCCACTTTCTCATCCATTTCAGCGCCGGCCCGAACAACCCAGCAACTCTGCAAATTGTCTATTCATAGCTCATGCAACTCGACGAGGCTTTGGATGTAGCGTGTCAGTCTCATAAGCACTGATCATTGGTGCACGGGTGCATCCCAATAATACCACTTTAATCGGATCCTCGCACTCATTGCCCGCATGTGAACCCGGTGATCTTAGCACGCGCAATTTACGAGTAGTCTTGCACGTTCACCGCGCCAATCGAACACAAACACCCTCCCCCTTCTGCAGTTCGAACGCACCTGCCCTAACCAACCGACAAAGGATGTACGCCACGTAGTCATTAAATACACCCACCCCATCCGCCTCTTCTGGCCTCGAACGAAACCCGTAGCATACCACCCACCTCCCATCCGTCACATTCGAACTCTCGCTATCCACCTTGAGTCAGCATTCCATCCATCGGGAAAAAAAAAATTTTCGCAGAGTCGTGCAAAAGCGATCAAGTCGAGTTTTTGCAATTGCCTCAAGCCTGGGTAACGCTACCTAACCCCCGCTGGCATTTGCAAAGTAGTGTTTTTCTACATACATCACTTTACACTTTCTCTTCACATGACATACAGTTTTTTGGCACATGCTTAACACCACTGTCTTCTTTACCTTATATTCCCCTGAATAAGTCGTCCATAAGACAGACTCGATCCAAAATCATGTGACCATTTTATTTTATTAAATTTCTTTCTCATTACTTTCCTATTACTTCTCTACATATACAACGTGAGATATTACGATTAATAAATAGCAGTAATAGGAATAGTGGGTGTAATTCATGCGCGTCACTTAGTTTCTTCCTCACCACTGCCAATTTGATTGCCCCCGGTATGAAGCCGAGGTCCCTATCACTTCTAGCGACTTCCAGCCAAGTTCCCCCTATGGCTGGCAATGGTGTATGCTATAGCACTGGCCGTAAGTCCCGACAGAATTTTATTTTATTAAATGGTCACATAGTTTTGGATCGAGTCTGTCTTATGGACGGCTTATTCAGAATCATCCAGTACCGGTTCAGCCCTTACTTTTTCTAATTCCTTCCGCCCACAGGGCCCAAACGGCCCGTGGGGTGTTTTACTTAGCAAGCGGCGCCCGAAAATAGCATTGTTAGCAAAGAAACGGAGCTGTCTCTCAGTGGCAGCCGAGCCGAATTTCGTTAATTGCTGCAGTTGACGGGTAATCACTAAAACTCGGTTGGGCTCGGCCAAGCGATGTGCATTCATTTTGGTTGCGGGAGTCGGGGGGCTGAGTTTTTGCTTGAGGTGAGGTCCCGGGAATGTTACGTTTGGGGAATGTTAGGTTTTCGTCTGCTTCAGGTTCTAGGCTGGACATCAAAAACCTTCAGGGGCACAGTAGTCTTCTCCCTCTGTTTCGAGTTCCCAGCCCTTAAGCGAGATCTCAATTTTCTGTAGCCAGTAACTCCTCTCTTACTTCCAGACGACCACCGAGACTTGACTTCCCATTCTCCGCCTGTCGACCTCTACCCCTCCCCCGTCCTTCGTCGCCGCAGCTCGCCACCCATTCCGGCCACTCCGCGCTCATCCGGGATTCAATAGTTGCCTCGCACTGCCCCGAGCAGTACTTAGTGATGCTCATTTGCGAAGGGAGATGCAGTGTGGTAGCCGGTATTGATCGCGCGCGGTTGGTCTGGTGCGGAGATGGCGCGGGTCTCGAAATCCTTGTTGGTTTTGCTTGCCGTTCAATGTCGTTGCCATAGTAGTGACCTCCCGTCAGTCTCAGTGCATTAACGGGCTTTTTTGGTGGCATCTGCTGTGAGTTTGGGTTGGTGGCGAAGCTGAAGGTGCGCCACTTCTCACGTTCGCTTAGCGTCTCCAAGCCTTGAACGGTGTTGTTGTAGAGCTATACAAACTGTGTCGCGGTAAGGTGCACTGAAGGAAGGCTGATTAGCTTTTTTTCCGGCTTTTACTGGTCAGAAGCTTTGGCCTAGTGCAGATGCATACTGGTGAGCTCGGCCAGACGAGCATTTCGCACGGGTCGACTTCAGCTCACCTTATTAGTTAGACGATTGCTGATAGTTCGAGCAGCCCTAAGCACTTCAGAGATCCACTTTAGCACAGGTGGCGCCAGCATACTGCGCAGCTGAAACTTAACAGACGTTTTGCGTTGCGCGGGACTTGTGCAATTCTAACGAAGAAGCCTAGCCCTGTCAACCACCCGTGCAACACTACCCTGGCCTTCGTCACCCACTTTCATCTCAGCAACCAGTAAAGCTGGGAGGCTGAAACTTCGGGTATACGTTCCTACCCCATGTGTCATCCTCCCCTTTTAAGATCTTTTCCCATACACGCCTAGACCCCGCGTGCGGGTCGCCCAAAAAAATATTCTGGGTAAGCTCAGTACAGGCAACTGCACTCTGCACAATAGGCATGCGCATCGGCGCTTTGCTCAAACATATATATGTATATGCATGTATGCATGTGCATTAGGTTTTGTTTTACAGAGGGTGTAATTGATGGGCAGTAGTTGCAGCTGGCAGGTCTTGCGTTAGCTTTGAGCCAAAACTTCTGATGTTTATGAGCATGTAGGTGCGTTTTGCGTCCAATAAAGCTTCAGTTGTCAGACTTTGTAGTGGTTGCAGAAGGTTCGGAAGCGACAAGATGATGCTGCCGGTGCAGATTCTGAAACAGAGTGCGCAGGAGGAGCGTGGCGAGGGCGCTCGTCTCTCCTCGTTCGTTGGTGCCATAGCCATCGGCGACCTCGTCAAGTCAACGCTCGGACCGAAGGGCATGGTAAGTGATCTTCTACAGCATCATGCATCCGACTCTTTCGCCGGATAACAACGAATCCTGCGTTCCCTGAGGCCATAACATTTCCTTGCTGTTGCCGTGCTCTGAAGCGCCTGCCCTCGCGATGAAAAGGCATCGGAGAGTAAGATTCGAAATGCAAGCCTTCAGAACAAGAAAAGCTGCTTTAAATGGATATTGTATGCGGTAAAAAAGGGGTCGAGTACTGGAAAATTACACATGGAATTCAGTGCCCCTAGAATTTACGTCGGCGAGGGAAAAACAGCACTTCAAGGGATGTGGAACAGAGGCTTTGAATAAGCCAGAGCCTGTTGTTTTGACTGTCTTCTGAAGTGATCACAATCCATCATAGTGCACCAGGTAATTATTAAGGCCCTAGTATTGCGATAAGGGGAGGGACATATCGCATCGACTGTTGAGAGGTTTAGCCGATGAGATTCATTTCATCGGAATATGAAAAGTGCGCTACGAACTTGGGACAGTTGTAAGTGAGCGACTGTATTTGTATACGACAGATTTCTTGATGATTGATTTTGCAATTTATGTTTGATGGAACTGTTATTAAGTTGCAATAAAAGTGAAGTAAAAACGGAATAAAGATGGAAAACGGAAAGGTGAAGGTAATAGAAAGATATAAAAAGGAAATAAGCAATTGTCCAATGTCAAAGAAATAATGAATTGAGGTCGTTTGAAAGCCGAACCGTAATCTTAAAATAGTTGCCAACGTACAGGCTGCCCGCGTAAAGATGCGTTTTCTGCATAGTTCCCCGCATTTTTTATCGCTACCGGCATCGGTTTTTTTCGGCAACTGTTTAAGGTCAAACAAATTAAGACGGGCCGCTGGAACTGGCAGGAAACACCCCCCATAAAATTTCAGCTTTCTAGTTTTCCTGGCTCCTCAGTTAGCAGCTTACTGGAAAAAAACTTTCACGTGCCCGCACGCGGGTGCCACGCATACTCGATGTCTGGGTTTGAGGTCGTTGGGACTTACTTGAACGGGGAACACTAGAGTCTATGAGCTTTCCAGGTTTTCGATTTAGCAATTTATCCGAGAAAAACTTTGGTGGCGCGTACGTGGGTACCACGCATGACCGAGGGCTGTGTTTGAGCTTGTTGAGACTAATGTGAACGGGGAACATCCCCTTAAGATTTCAGCTTTCTAACATCTCAGATCCCCGAGTTATCAACTTACCCGAGAAAAATTTTGTCGGGCTCGTACGCGAGTACCATGCTTTACCGGGGGCTGGATTTGAGCTCATTAATGCCTACTTGGATGGGGAACATCCCGTTAAAATTCCAGCTTTCTAGCTCTTCTGGTTCGCAAGTTATCAACTTACTCGTAAAAACTTTGGCGGGTTCTTACGTGGGTATCACGCGGGTACGACCGCCCATTTCGGGGATGGGGCCCGTACGTGCATGTAGATTATGTCCCCAAAGTTTCATCCCTATAGCTTTTGCCGGTCTCGAGATGAAAAATCGATACAGACGAACGCACAGACACACACACACACACACACACACA